GTCAATTTCTTTCTCTCCCCCCTCCCTGTCAATTTCTTTCTCTCCCTCTCCCTGTCAATTTCTTCTGTTGTAGCATGGCCGAGCCCTGTATGGTCCGCGGGTACAGGGAGCTTTTGTTTCCTGTACCCGGCCGGACTAAAAGGAAGTGCACACTCAGTGTTAGTCCGGCCGGGTACAGGAGACAGATTCTCCCTGTACCCACGGACCATACAGAGCTCGGCCACACTACAGTGAGGGAGTGACAGGAGGGAGCGCTGAGTGCCTCCCTCTGTCAGCCCCTCTCCTCATGCTGCGCCTGGGCGGTGCGCCCTCATAGACGCACCAGCCCGGGCAAAGCTGCAGCCGCCTGAGGCTCTCTACAGAGCGTTCGGGCCGCTGCAGCATGAGGGGGGCCGGCGCACCTGGTGGCTCCCCTTCCCAAGGGGCACCCTAGGCAGCTTCCTAGTCCGCCTAACAGGTAGCGCCGACCCTGGGTGGTGACCACAGACCACTTCTCAGTTCCTATGCTTCCTGGCTGATGTTATAGTCACTTTTGAATGCTGGCGGTGTTTTCCCTCTAGTGGTAGCATGAGACGGAGTCTACAATACACACAAGTGGCTCAGGTAGTGCAGCTCTTCCAGGATGGCACATCAATGCGAGCTGTGGCAAGAAGGTTTGCTGTGTCTGTCAGCGTAGTGTCCAGAGCATGGAGGTGCTACCAGGAGACAGGCCAGTACATCAGGAGACGTGGAAGAGGCCGTAGGAGGGCAACAACCCAGCGGCAGGACCGCTACCTCTGCCTTTGTGCAAAGAGGAACAGGAGGAGCACTGCCAGAGCCCTGCAAAATGACCTCCAGCAGGCCACAAATGTACATGTGGCTGCTCAAACGGTCAGAAACAGACTCCACGAGGGTGGTATGAGGGCCCGACGTCCACAGGTGGGGGTTATGCTTACAGCCCAACACCATGCAGGACGTTTGACATTTGCCAGAGAACACCAAGATTGGCAAATTCGCCACTGGCGCCCTGTGCTCTTCACAGATGAAAGCAGGTTCACACTGAGCACATGTGACAGACGTGACAGAGTCTGGAGACACCGTGGAGAATGTTCTGCTGCCTGCAACATCCTCCAGCATGACTGGTTTGGCATTAGGTCAGTAATGGTGTGCCCTCCATGTGCTCGCCAGAGGTAGCCTGACTGCCATTAGGTACCGAGATGAGATCCTCAGACCCCTTGTGAGACCATATGCTGGTGAGGTTGGCCCTGGTTTCCTCCTAATGCAAGACAATGCTAGACCTCATGTGGCTGGAGTGTGTCAGCAGTTCCTGCAAGATGAAGGCATTGATGCTATGGACTGGCCCGCCCGTTCCCCAGACCTGAATCCAATTGAGCACATCTGGGACATCATGTCTCGCTGCATCCACCAACGTCACGTTGCACTACAGACTGTCCAGGAGTTGGCAGATGCTTTAGTCCAGGTCTGGGAGAAGATCCCTCAGGAGACCAACTGCCACCTCATCAGGAGCATGCACAGGCGCTCTAGGGAGGTCATACAGGCACGTGGAGGCCACACACACTACTGAGCCTCATTTTGACTTGTTTTAAGGACATTACATCAAAGTTGGATCAGTCTGTAGTGTGCTTTTCCACTTTAATTTTGAGTGTGACTCCAAATCCAGACCTTCATGGGTTGAAAAATTTAAATTTCCATTTTTTAATTTTTGTGTGATTTTGTTAGATTTTGTTGTCAGCACATTCAAGTATGTAAAGAACAAAGTATTTCAGAAGAATATTTAATTCATTCAGATCTAGGATGTTATTTTTGTGTTCCCTTTATATATTTTTTGAGCAGTGTATATATATACGTGTGTTATAAGTGTATTTTCATATTAATATAAAAATACACTATATAAGATATATAGACATATATTATATAGACACATTTATATTTATATTTTGATTTAATTAACTTTTTTTTTTACATTTACAGCAGCAGGGAGACTGCCTGTCAGTTCAGGCAGTCCCACACTGCAGCCATGTGACCGCTCTGTTAGACCGATCACATGGCCGCGGGGGCCTAATACGCGAGGCAGGACTGCCAGACCGGGAGCAACGTCAATCGCCGACGGAGGAACGACAAGATCGGGTGAGTAACTATTACCGTTATGATGGTTCAGGACCGTCATCAGTCCTCAAGGGAATATTTCCGATCACGGACCTGAACCGTCAGGAGAAACGGGGAGAAAGGCAGTGTTTCCATTGCTCCCTAGGGACACCCCAGTGGCAGTCACCTAGACTGTCACTAGAGGTGCAGACGGCCACAATGTGCAGCACTGATGTTTAGTGTCTCCACTCTCTCAATGGAGACACTAAACTTTCCCCATAGAGATGCATTGGGGGATTGCATCTCTATAAGTAGATACTGATTGGTGCAGCGCTGCGTTTTGCTGTGCATGCGCAATTGCCTCCCACTGATTTCCTATGGGAAAGCACTGGATTGGCTGAGATCGTCAATACTAAATAGTATTAACACTATAGGGTCAAGAATACACATTTGTATTTCGGACTATATAGTGTTCCTTTAAAGGTATATGTAGGTGTACACCCTCCTAGTATGCAGAGGTATTAAGAAGTTTTTCTTCTGGTTGTAGTAGTATGTTTATCACCATAAAGGTATATATAGGCATTCTACATTCTGGAGTATGCTGAGGTATTAACCAGTTTAACCTAATTCTCCTTAATGATCTCCAACAAATTACTCTCACTATCTTGCATTTTTAGTCATCCTTATGTTCTTTAATAGATAGGTCTCACTAATTTGTATTTATAATTTAGTGACACAACTTGTAATACTAGATTCACCTATAAACCCCTAAACTCTAGGATCTGATTATGTGAGCTATATTAACACTATAGTCACCAAACATTTTTAGCTTAATTCAGCCATTTTGGTGTATAGATCATGCCCCTGCGTTCTCAACGCTTAATTCACTGCCATTTGGGAGTTAAATCACTTTTATCTATGTTTAACCAGCCCTAGCCACACCTCCCCTGGCTGTGACTAACATGCGGAAAAAATTGTTTCATTTTCAATCACAAGTTAACATTCTTTAAAAGATTTCTGCTCTGTAAATTGAACTTAATTACATACAGCAGACTCCAGAAGTCTATTAACAGAGCAGAATATAAAAAATTCTAAATTAAACAGAATTTCCAATAAAATGTCAGGTTACCTTGTGTATCAGTCAGGCTGGCATCACATTGCAGGGTATTGGGGACACTCCTACCAACTCTCAGCTTGTCTCCAGCGATTCTCACGCCAGCCGCGATAACCCCGCCTCCTTTTATGGTGCGGCGAATGATCAACGTCATGACGCTAAGAACGCCACGGCCCGCCAAGGTGTTCGAACGAGAACATTTTGGGGGCTTGGTTACTTACCTAATTGAACACAGTATTTAAAGAGAAACCAGGAAGAGACTCACCCTATTGTGGTTCTTGTTTGACCCAAGAGCGCGTATTCCGTATTGGTATTCTTGTATTCTGACTTTGGCTTTGTTTGACTATTCCACCTTCTGTGTTCCTTTAACCTAGGCTATTGCATTATGGTTGATCCTGATTTCTAGTACCCCTGACCTCTGCTCGCTATTTGACTATTCTTTGTGTGTGTAGTGTTAGTCCGGCCATCCAAAGGTCCGGTATACATTACTAGTATTTGCATTCTGCGTGTAGGATCCTCGAACATTCCTGACATAGAGGAAGTGTAAACATTAGATGACTCTTTACAGGAAGTGTCACAAACGCACCCTACTTCAAGAGTGTGCGTGATGTAGTTGTGGTGGTGAAAGGGTTAAAGCTCACTATTTGTCTGCATTAGACCGGAAATAATGACAAAATCCCCCTTAACACCATCCACACCTAAACATAATAATATAACTATTACTATTTTAACACTGCCACCACCAGGTAAATCAGTAACAACAACCCACCAAATACAACATAGCACAATATATAAAGCAATCGCAAAATACTAATTAGTCTCTTCAGGTAACATGATTCTTAACCAGACAAAGGCAGAACATATTAAAGGAATATTTATTATGAGCAAACAAATAGTCACAGTGCATACAAAAAAACAGATGAAAAAAAATAAATTATTTACACCAACAACAGATAAAAACAAAAGGGGTAAAATAACAGAAGTTCTAAACACTTGCTCAAGAAGGTTTTCAAAGTAAAACTTCTAATATTGAGTGACTTACTCAAAATTAGATTTTGGCCCCAAGCAAGTACCAGGAATACTTCAGTTTTATTAGAGATATACCCTGTGGATTACTACGCCTCACCCAGAGGTGGAGTTACAGCGTATCTATAGAGACACTAAGGGACTACCCCCTTGTGTCCAGACCCCCATCAATCCAAATGGAAACATTTGGCTCTATCTTCACTTATGTACCTGCTACAGAAATAATACTTGCATTTATGAATTGGCTATTTAGTATTTGTCCTGTAAGTATGACCAGATCTTTAGGGCATGCTATGTGGCCCTAATTTTAATTAAAACCCTCCTTTTGTAGTATGACATCGCAAGCCCTACTGTCACAAATGAGATAAGGTAAAGTTGTTTTGGAACTTAGTGTATCTCTTTAAAGGTCTAAATACTTATGACAGTGTGATATTTCGGTGTTTTCTTTTGAATATATTTGCAATGTGGTATAAAATATATATGTATATTTTTTGCATTGTCATTATGGGGTACATGAGTGTAGATTCATGCAAAAAAAAAAAAAATTAATACTTTCTGAAGGCACTGTAAAACAAAATGCATAACAATTTACATGAAACATGTGACTCATAGCACACAGAGGGAAATAGCAATCTCAAGTATAAATTAAACATTATTTAAAATCACTATTAATATACTAATGATAGTCACTGTTGGTGAATAAAGCTATTAGTATTACACATATAATCTTTAAAATCATACAGTAATGAGAAAGAAAACAGACACTACGTTGTATTTTGGAAAGAAAAAAAAACTTTAATAAATTAAAAATATAGATTGCATTTTAACTTTTAAATTTAATACAGATCAGTTATCAAAAAAATAAAATCACAGCAACCCCTGCATAATAAATCATTCTTACCCCAGTCAGAAGAGCAAGCTGCACATTTATCAAATTAACAGCAGTAGTAGTGTGTAATAATATATGCCAATAAACATATTACGGTCAGTTAAACACCATATTGCCTAAATCAAAAATAAAACATTTACGTATTGCCTAGCTTAAAACATATTGTCCTGTAAGGTCATGCACACTTAAGTACATAACTGCCCCCTAGAGGCTAGCTTGCTAAATACACATTTTGAATAGAACATAAAATTGCAAAAATGCATAACGTTTGTAAAATTACTTTTAGATTAGGTAATTCTGTACATATTTCTTTCTGAAAATATTGAAATATGAAGAAATGTGTAACAAGCAGTAAACACATGAGTCCCCATTTTGCAGCAATGTAACCTATAGCATAGCACTCCACACACACATAGTGTGTCTGTACAAAAGACCAATGACAGACAATGTTTTAAGCTGCTAGCAACAGTTAAACAGAATTTAAAAATTACCAGTTATGAGAGCTGTTTGAAATCATTTCAAACATTTCATTATAATAAATATAGAATTTAACATTTGTGTGTTTCTTTGTGTATTTGACCGATGAGGAGCTTGGGAGGAGATCACCTTCTTAAAATGTGTTGTAATTTAGGATGGCCCATAATACCAAGCAACAGTTTTAAACACACAAAGATTATGTATTACAATTTTAGGAAGGTTTGTGCATGGCTACAAAGCTTTCAAATCTATCAAGGCTTTGTTTCACATGCCTAGAGCTTAGAATTTAGTATGTCCTGGATAATATATTACATGCCACATTTAGAATAATTATATTTATAGACAGGACAAAAACTCAGAGAAGGGATGGCTTTTCCTTTTGGCCATCTACCTTGATTCACACAATACGGGAATCCGAAACACTGGGGGCCCATCCCACAAATGAATTGTCTTGGTATAAAGGCCAGAAACATACTACCAACTGGGGTGGTAAATATACAATTTTATTTTAAAGTGCATTTTCTTATCATCACAAACATTAAATGTTCATCTAACTTTACAAAATGAAAAGCACAAAAAAAGACTAGCCAAATGTTTATTCACATGCCATTTCAGTGAGTTTTGAAGCATATTATTCATCATCCCCCATGCAACTGACTAAAATATGGGTTTGGGTTCTTTTTTATACTGTAGTGGCATTGCTTGTGCCATGGAGACTCCCTCTCACACTGAACAGTAATTTTGCTAAATTTTATTTATGTGAAATATATTACACTCAAAGAATGAGTTACTGATTTTATTTTACTGAACAATGGGTCACCACGCTAAAGTACAAAATATAGGCCCCTATAATAATAATAAAAATTATCGGCACACTCTAATCACCATATCCACTTCAGGGTGCTGTAGTGATTATCGTGTCAGTAGAATCCTGGCTCCATCCCTTGCTATCAAATCATTCACAAACAATTTGACACCTAGTTCTGTTGGGTCCATTCTGCACTGGTATGCTAAAATGGAAGTTCATACTTCAGTATTAGTAATATCTATTTTGTGTAACTCTGGACATTATTTACTGGCAGAGATTCACTCCCAGCACCATAACCACTACTGCGATTTGTGCTACTAATCAGTACTGAAATCTCAAAGAAAATGCACTCACATCCTGACAGACAAAATCACATAACACAATTCAATGTTTTGTGAAACTGCTGGGCTCATAAGCACTGGACCGGAACACTTGTTCTGTAGTCAGCAGGTACAATTGAAACAATCCTCATAAGTGCCAACTCAATGGTCTTAAAGGTAAACAATAAGGTAACAAAAGACCAAAGGTAGAAACTCTAATTTATTCCAAAATTTATAAAAATACTTTGCAGAAAAGGAAGATCCACGTACATGTTTCGGGACCACCACCAACTAACGCGTTTCGTACAGTAACCCGTACTCATAGTCTATGATTAAATATTGGTTGCTGTACAAAAAGTGCTAGAGTTGGTGGTGGTCCTGACACGTTTGTGGGTCTTCCTTTAAAGCAAACTATTTTTATACTGGAAAAAAATATCGTTTCTACCTTGGACCTTTCTTGCCCGATTGCTTACCCTTCAGATCGTTGAGCTAATACATATGAGAACTGTACTAAATCGGTTATAGCTTCCAATGTACATGTCAAATTCAAATGTTAGGACTTCAAGTTACTCAAAGGTAAACAAATAAAATAATACGATCTGCTCTCAAATCTGAATACAACCTACCATTTGACTCGTTCATTGAACTTGGTAAACAAATTGTTAAAAGGCATCCTGTGATATACAAACTTAATAAAATTAAAAAAAAAGTCAACACGGGCAAGATACCTTGTAGGTCCAATATTATACAGTTTAATATTTATGACCTTACAGTACAGATATTTACAAGTCCCCGGTGCTGGCCTGAAACCACGTTGATGCACCTTTTAAATTAAACCTTCCTTTTATTGCTAGAAATGAGTTGAGAGGAAATAAGCATTACAGATGTTTAGTGCGGACTATATACATAATGAAAAATTGAACAGCTGCTTAGGCTCCTGCACACAGCATCTTCTATCAATGGCATTTTGTATCACTGTTTTGGTTCTTCCAGAGACAGGTGCAGAGTAATTCTACAGGCCTTTGGTAGCTTTACACCTGTCCATATTCACAATGGTTCTCTTAAAACTCCACCAGATGTCATCACTCAAGAACTGGGGTTGAAGGTCAGAATCATCCAGCTTATGACAAAATAGAAGAGAAATATAGGATACACAGCCAGGGCTCTGCGGTTAGGTGGCTGACTGTCTGCTAAAAAGGCAGTGGATGCTGAAAATAAAAATAAATAAATAATAGTTATACATGTCTTGGCAAGAACAATTTATTATTATTTTTTTATTGAATTGCCATATTGAAGCTTTTAATACTGAGGTTACATGGACAGAAGCCTGTATTTTTTTTTTTTTTTTTAAAGGTGGGAGGGGAGGAATGAGTAAGAAAAGCCCAACTGTTGGACAAATTCAATTCAAAGCATGTGATGTCCAATAAATACATGTAAAAAAGGTGATTTATTAAAGTTAATCAAAGAGCTATTATGGAATGCTAAATAGTACTTTCTCCTCCCCTTTTTTCAGAATCTGAGAGCAAATGACAAGAAACAAGGACTTGTTTTAAGCCTCCTGATCTCTTTGATTGATGTTCATAACAATTATACAGCAAACGATTGCCTGTTCCTAGACTGCCTCACCACTGAAGCATTCCCACAAAACTGCACATGCAGAAACCATGTTACATGTGCCGTGCAAGGTGTTTAGTTAAAGGTGACTAGTTTCTCTCAGGTCTTCACTAAATTGTAATCCAACACAAGAAATTCTCCAGGCACTCAAGGTGTTATAGCCGCAGGCAGTTAAAATGAAAAATATATTTTTTTTTTAAAGCTTGAAAAAGACCTCTCAGCAAGTCGAAACGTTGCTGAACCTTTTTGTACCATAAAAACTGCCTGCGGCTTCAACACCTTGAAAAACCTGGAGAATTTATTGTGTTGCCTTATCGTTGTGGGATTGCTGGTCCTGCTCCAGAGCAGCGGGTGGCTGCTGGGATTGAGTGTGGCTCTTACGATCACTTTTTTAAATTGTAATCCGAGACATACAGTTACATAATGGGCTGTTAAGTAGTAAAAGTGTCATCAAATAACTAAAGCTGTTTAAACAAAAAGTAGTTTCAAAGAAATATCACCAAATAACATGATGTTCAATGCTGAAAAAAAAATAAAAAAAATAATTATTAGAAACTTTGCAGGCGTCTTAAAATTTTCAAAGATTCTTACCAAGCGTTGACCAGGCAAACATGACTGCCACTACGACCAAGCGCACTATAAAAGTCACAGTGTTCATACTCGCCAGGAGAAGTAACCTGCATACTAGCATTGCCACTGTAAGAGGCAGGATGCAGTAGCCCAGTACACACAGACTCTGGAAGAAAGAGCTGAAGAGGAAAAGGAGAACATCTCTTTAGAACCAACTACAGACAATACATCTTTGGAGAACTACAGGCAGATCCCATAAAAATGCTGATTATCGTTTAACAGAACTACTTGCACAGGTAATTAAAAAAAAAGTAACCAAGTATTTTATCTTACGCAGGGAACAGATGACTATTTACAGAAAACAGTGCAAATGTTGGTAGGATGAAAACTATTCTTATAAACATTGAAAACTGCTAAACCGCTTACAAAACTAATATATAGTTCTAATGCAATGTACTGTAGTTTTTAAGTGGCAATATTTATAAACAATAGAGATATGCACGTTTTGTAGGTATCCCCCAAACTGAAGGCTTTAATTACGATAGAGCAAATTGTAGTGAATTGAAAACCAAACAGCAAAATTGTTCATTTCCATATCAAGCAGGGAGTTTAATTGGAATAGTGGAAATATGATTTCTCTGAATTAATGTGACAATGGCGAACGTTACCCAAAATCCTATTTGAGATAAGTGGATGATGCACAACAGTAAATTTTTTTTTTATTTTTTTTTTAACATTTAAGCAAAAATAGCATATTTGTGATTAGATTTTTAATTCACTACAGTTCTTGATTACTTAATAAATTCCTGATTGTTATCCACAAAGACCAACTTTATCCTTGCAGGAACCTCTATTGGAAGTGAAGTAATTAAATGGTACTTACATGTTTCCTCCGAGCAACTTGGAATTCAAAGTGATGACTACAGCCCCAAACCATATTATTACAAAGACCTCAGCAAACTGTGGTCCTCCACTATCCTTACTGTCTGCATAGCTACCCTGCAGCATTCTGGGGGAGAGACAAACAATAGAAGTTGCAATGAGTAGCAAACTAGTATCAATATACTAAAACCCATGATGGGCAATGGACGTTGACAGCTAAAATGTTAACCTATGCAACACAAAACACAATAAATAGTCAAACCAATGCCTGTTCAACATGAACAATTTTGTATGAAAGGCCATTAAAGGACCACTCTAGTAGCCCAGACCACTTCAGCTCAATGAAGTGGTCTGAGTGCCAGGGCCCCCTAGTTTTAACCCTTCAGCTGAAAACATAGCACATTGCAGGATTAATCCAGCCTCTAGTGGCTGTCTTCCTGACAGCCACTAGAGGCCGCTTCCGCGATTCTCAGTGAGAAAAATCGCACTGAAATGATGCTGACATCCTCACAGAGTCCAGCATCATTTCAGATCCCCATAGGAAAGCCGTTAGTAATGCTTTCCTATGGGCGGGTTTTAATGTGCGCGCCTCTAGCCGCGCATGCGCATTCGGCTCCACTTGGGAGCCGATGTCGGCAGTGGGAGGAGAGATCACCAGCGCCAAGAGAGCCCGGCGCTGGATTAAGGCAAGTGGCTGAAGGGGTTTTAAACCCTTCAGCCCATCGGGAGGGGGGACCTATTAACCCTATAGTGCCAGGAAAACAGTTTTGTTTTCATGGCATTATAGGATCCCTTTAAGTTCACTTCACTTTAATGTGATAAATACACTGTGCTAGTCAAATCCCTAGCCAGTGTAATGATACCCAATACACTTGTGTTCCAGTTTAAGTGCATCCATGCACACTTCCAGAATGTGTGTGGCATACGCTCAGGAAACAATGCATTGCCCTCTAGTGTTCAGCTGTGTGCACTGAGTGAGCATGTTCTTACAGTGTCTAGAGTTAGATGCAAACTTCAGGAAAGATGGTATTTAATAAATATATTTGCAAATGAATTGGGAAGCACATTGTATATCTCTAATTATAATGCATAAATAATGGAAACTTGTCATCCACTTGGCAGGTCTACTCTGGCAAATTGTGTCATTGACAGTGTAAGGTTCCAGTAGGTATGAACTTGATGGACTTTAGTCTTTTTTCAACCTAGACAATTATGTAGAACATTTCAATATATACCATAAGATGATAAACCAAGAGCTAGCATATAGATTACAATATATACGTATCTAAAACTCTCTTCTTCAAGCAAGTTAGTTTCCACATCACACAATCTAAGTGAGCTATACATGCAATATTTGTGGTTGTAGAAGACACACCAGTGTACCTGTAAATCGTTTCTGTGCATATGGGCTTATTTATTATTATAAATTCACTAGTGTACATATGGAGTGTTTGTGAACTACTAAACGATACTGTGAAACAGTACCAATTTTCTTTATGCCAGAAAATGCATAAACACATTTACCCCCTCCGTTCTTGCCAGTAATAGTTATTTTTAGCTATTTTTTTTTTTTTTTTTTACTTTTATGCTGTGATCATTTGTCAAAAGTGACAGGCAGTTGGACTTTAAAAATCAGATACATACAGAAATTTATCCTGTCTACACTTAAAACAAAACATACAAACACACCACAAGTAACAATAATTACCAGTATTACTAAACGTTATTACATGAACCACAAAAACTCCCATGCAATCTAGCTTGACGATCAGATCTAAGTGTATTAAACACTGAAAACCATAAAGTCAGATACTTACAAAGCAAGTGTCACACACAGCACAAGAGGGCCCCATAAATCCCCTGTTAAAGATAAGAATATGAATGTTAGAAATTGAGACAAATGCAATATCTTCCAGTAGATATAATAGCATTGCCTCTTGTCAATTCAGATAACTGAACTCATGAGAAAGAAGATGCTGAATCCAGTTCATCTCAAGTGATAAGATTACAGATCATGTGCATTATGTAACAATTAGTTAGAGGGCAACATAAAGGGACACTGCCCCCTTAAAGCACTTGAGCTTGCATTTTTATGAATTGATTTGGACAAGTTTGGAAACAACCTCTGGCAGTCAAGCTGACACCCTGAAGAACTTCCCAATTCAGTCTGCCTGAACAGTTCAAGCAGAAGTGAAGAACTATCATTTGTCAATGCTTCTCTACAAAGAGCATTCTTTTAGCCATTCACAGCAATTGCCGTGTATGTGGCAATTTTCTCCAGACAGGTATGGGAGAGTGTCACAGCAGACAGAGAGGACTTGCCCCTCGAAATAAAAGCGGTAATGAGATTTCTGCCATTTGGAGGGTTATACGAACAAAATATAAACTTTTAACATTAAAGTATCCTTTATTATCTTACTGAGTATTGCACTCAATGAATATAAAGCGAGTCTAAGGACTGGGGCTGAGAGATTTCAGACACTTCTGAGGAGAGCTCACTGAATAAGCTGCAAAACCACAACCTTCAATGGATAGCATCTTAATATTCCTCCCCCACCCCATCAACTTTATAATGTATCATTTATATAACTAGAAGTGTCCTTGTGGAACCTGGTATATATTGATAAAATATACAGCCAGTCTTTGCTAAAGAATTGTATTATGCCAAATGTGGCAGGCACTTTAACGCGTGAGAGCATGCACAGCAGCAAACGTGATTCTGAACAGTTGGCCTATCTGAAAAATGTGAAAATTAACCTCTGCAATGTAACAATCCTCAAACCACACTAAATGTACAGCCTAATTCAGCTTAGCTTTTTCCAATAAATCAACAGAGCAAAGCATTATTAGATATTCAGACTCTAAAACAAATATGTAATCACTGGAATTATTTGACATTTCTCCTTGTGGTGCACTTCACAAACTAAACAGTGACATTTCCATTTAACCTTATGTGAACGCAAGTAACAATATTCATTGGTTGTGAATTGTAGAACTATGTTGTATTTCCATTCAACTGATGATATCGCTTCCTTTTTCAGTTCCGGCATAGCTTGAAAGCATTCAAATGGATTGTCTTATTAAGTCAGAAGTCATTTAATATATTTTCATGAGACTGTGGTTACCAGGGTTGAAAAACAGCTACAAGATTGAAAGTCTCCAGAATTCATGGCCAAAGCATAGCATAAAGCAAAATACTGGTATAAACAAAAGATGTTTCTTTATATGTACTGATTAACTTTTAATCATATAAAAGTGCTGTGGTTTACTTTCTTGATGCAGAGTAATGATTTATAATAGAGCAAAATATTAACCTTCACTTCCGTGAGTTGGCACAAATTTTGGATAAAACACTTATCTTACTCATTGCTCCATCATTCTCTGAGGTCACCGATTTTCTAAATGAACCAGGAATCAGTGATAATTTTACTGAGAATTCATACATCCTTGTAATGCATTTTTTCTAGTGGCAAGGATCCACTTTGTTGCACCACCTGTCCATGCAGCAAAGTACTAGACATTTTCAGTGAGGCATAGCCACTCGAGACATGTAAATATACAGTCTCAGAACATAGGTCACATTGCGGCTATGGCTGAGTGGAGGAATTTCTCCAGATCAACTATATATGCCACAGTTTTTCCCCCATTCAGATTTAATTAAAGTACATTAGGAGTTAAAAGGAAACTCCAGTGCCAGGAAAACAATCCGTTTTCCTGGCACTGCAGGTCCCCTCTCCCTGCCACCTCCCAATCCCCAGTTGCTGAAGGGGCGAAAAACCCCTTCAGTGACTTACCTGAGACCCCCGCCGATGTCCCTCGGCAGTGGTTTTGGGTCGCCGCCTCTCCTCCTCCTCTGCATTACGTCGGCTGGTGAGCTAGACTGATCCCGCCCACCGGGGAGATGCCGCGCATGCGCATTAGAGCTCTCCATAGGAAAGCATTGAAAATGCTTTTCAATGCTTTCCTATGGGAAATTGAGCGACACTGGAGGTCCTCACACAGTGTGAGGACGTCCAGCGACGCTCTAGCACAGAAAACCTGTACTATGGAGCAGGAAGTGCCCTCTAGTGGCTGTCTAGTAGACACTAGAGGAGGAGTTAACCCTGCAATGTAATTATTGCAGTTTATAAAAAACTGCAATAATTACACTTGCAGGGTTAAGTGTAGTGGGATTTGGCACTCAGACCACTCCAATGGGCAGAAGTGGTCTGGGTGCCTGGAGTGTCCCTTTAATCAGAATAACCCTGTTACAGGTTTTTTTTCTTCAAATATAAAAAAGCCACATTTAGTAGAGAAGCATGCAACATGTATAGTATAGTATGTGCATCTAGCTATATTGACTATTTTTTTTAATATTAGTTTTAAAAACCTCGAGACAGTTATGGCAATTGACAGCACTTAATTTAAAAGATACATATCGGAGGACTGCATTCAACCTATTGCAGCCTTAAGGTCCGTGTGCTACTGCTCTACTGCACAGAAATAGGAACCCCTGCAGTTAATAAATGTTAATGGAACACACCATAAAAAAAAAAAACAGAAAAATTTTTTATATATATATATTATTAACAATTTTGCAAATATGCACCTTAATGAAAACATGCTTGCAAAAAGCTGCAGATTTCTTGTCTGCAGCAGTTACAAGCCCTCCACTTTTTCCCCAGCCCAGACTTTCTGTGGCTGTCTAATCACAGACTTCCCAAATGCAGCTCAATGAGAGGGTTTTGCAAGGCAGGTGCTCTAGGCAACTTCTACTTCTTGAGTTAGCTGCACTGTGCTGAGCAAGGAAGAAACAGGACCGGTTGTCTGACTGACTGCAAGGGAGGTGTAACAAGGTAATTTAAAAATGTGCAAATTGTAAAATATTCTATATTTTGGAAATGGTTCTTACATGCATTTCACACTGAGGTGTGGTTAAACTTGAATGACATGAACAGATGACAATTAGAGTTGCAAGCTTTTTTTCTATTTCGGATTTTCCATGGAACGTGATGACCTAATTTTTATTATAATCTACAGTTTTTCTAAAATTAAAGGAGCACACCTTCTTTAGGTGTGTTGGGTGTTCCATTAAAGGCTAAGCACCATAAGCACTTTGTATTACTACAAAGTGTATGGTCCTTGGAGCATCTTGAGCCCACACGTGTCTTTGTAAAAATTACCGCTTCTGCTATAAAAGCCCATTCGGGAAACTTGTCTCACATATGGTGGCAATGTGGGAAGCGTCAAACTTTTTGGAAGGGAATCCGTCTGCTAATTAAATAGACTAACTGGTCTACTGTCACATTTTCACCAGAACTAGGATTAAGAAATTCCCCAAAACAACGAGTAAAACCGATAAGATCATGACAGGCCACAGTCTTATAGCGGCAACGTCCATCATACGTTGTTAACGGAAGGCACTCACCATCCCATCTATGAAGGAAGTGTTACTTTTAACACTCTATAATAAAAAAGGCATGAATTGGCATTGAAGCAACCATCCCCATAGACTATTAAGGTTTCATTTGGACAATTCGCAAAGCAATATAAAGCAAAAATAATTTCACACACTCCGTACTATTTTGGCAACTGTTATTTTGGTTTTGTATTTTATCATACTCTGTATCTCATTTATGTAAACATTTGATCATTTAAATGTATGTATTTAACGATTGAATTACCTCTCCCTTTAATATTGTTCTTTCACTTACTCTACCCCATATAATTGTTTTAGGACTAATATATTTTTGTTTAAAATATAGGTGTTTTTTTTTTTTTGTTTTTTTTTTTTAAAAGGGTTCATGAAAACTAATGTGAAAAGAAAGCCACCAGGGTTTTCAATCAAGCAGCTCTAAACACTTAATTACAGCATCAAAGTCTCCCAGGCCACTTTATCTCCATGAAGTGGCTTGGGTGCAGTGGTCTTGTCAGTTTAACAGTTTAAAGTAAAACGTTGAGGTTTTTATAAAAACGTAAATTGTTACCTTGAACAATTACAGGACCACTACACACCCATAACACACTTCACTTTGCTGGGTGAAGAGTATCTTACTTATATTCCAGCTTATAAAAGTGCTGATTTCTATGAGAAATCTTCACTTTTATAAAACAATTATGAAACAACAGGCTTCTTCTTCCTTCTGTTAGTTTCTTTCTACTATAACATACCTGCCTTCTCCCCAAATCCTCCTTACAGATTTCACATCAGAATAGCGTTCTTCTTGAATGCTGTAGATGTGCGTGTATGCGAGAATACACACATGCGCACAGAGGGACAGACTCTGAGGTCTCCAAATGAGAAGCATCTGGATGGTTATTTCTCCACTAAGAGATTGAAAGTCTCTTCTGGAAAGCAAGGGAAGGGTAGTCCTTGCCAAGGCTGCAGTCATAAGCAGCTCCAGAGGGGGACCTGAAGTTGCAAGGTTTTTTTATAGCACACACAGAGATGACACCTCTATAAATAAGGAAAATGACACTTAAGCATTAGGAATACAGGTTTTTATCCCTAACATTTTAGAGTTCCTTTAATTTTGCACCTACCTTTCATGCGGCATTAGGGAAGTGTCAATCTCTCCTCTCTTGAGAGAGATGAGCTTTAGAATATGCATGCATGGAAAAGTGAATTAGGTTGATAGCATCTGCAGTAGACTTAAACAGTTCCAATCATCATATGCAATGATTGGAATTGCACTTTGGAGATGTACGATTTACCCCATAAACACATGGCAGACAAGCATTTACAGGATAAGATCAGTCACCACAGACCACAATGAGACTCTCCTGATGGGAGGATCTCATCTTGGTGAGGGAAGAGTCTGCCGCCAGCAGCAATCAGAATCACTGAGCAGTGCACCCATGGATACCTTAAAATAGGAGTAACATTCAATAAAAAGTTAGCTTTTTTGTTTTTAAAAACAGACTAATCATTTCAAATGCCAACTGTATAATACGATACATCAAATGCATTGTTCTACATACTTACAGTCTCTGAGCAGTGCCGTGCTTTTTTTGGGATACATAACATGAAGAAATTTATTTCCAACAGCCCTTAGGTCTCGCATCTAAAATGTAGGAGATAAGCATCCATGATTAACAACATAAATATTGTCATGTTGACATTTTTAATAATAGCGTGTGGACTATTACATTTTTACTTTTGTAATTCCTAATAAGCAGCTAATTCAGTTTTCTTAATTACACTATAGATACATTATAGTCACAAAAACTACTTTACCTTAATGAAGCTGTTTTTATGTACAGTTCATGCCCCTGCACTTTTCTGCCATATAGGAGTTAAATTATGTTGTTTATGCAGCCCTAGTCACACCTCTCTGAAAATGACTTGCACAGCATTCCTAAACACTTTCTGTAACGTAAGACCTAATGTTGAAACTTAATTTATAGCACAGCCTGTTCAAATTAGAAATTATCTCCTGCCATGTTAATAGCTTTCTGCAGTATCCTCCTGTGTGTGATTAAAGTTAAATTAACAGAGCATGATATACAAACTTCTGAAGTAAGTTAACATCTGATTAAAAGTGAAACTATTTATTTTCATAAAGGCTGTGCAAGTCTCACGCAGGGAGGTATGACTAGGGCTTCATAAACAAAGCAATTTAACTTCTAAAGGGCACCGAATTTAGCAGTGAGACTGCAGGGTCATGATCTGTACACCCAATTGCTTCATTAAACTAAAGTTGTTTTGGTGACAAGAGTCCATTTAATTATTTTTCTTTATTTTAATTGACCTAATAATCTGCAGTCTCTAAAATCTACATAGTGCTGCATCTACTATACCTACCCTTATATTAAGCTGAATAGACTGTATGCTTGTTTGAGCAGGGTCCTATTCAACCTATCGTTCCTGTAAGTTTTCTTGTAATTGTCCTATTTATAGTTAAATCCCCCCTCTCATAATATTGTAAAGCGCTACGGAATATGTTGGCGCTATATAAATGACGATAACAATAATAGTACTAGCTACACTGGCATTATTTGTTTTTGTTTAAAAATGAACAAACATGTATTCCTAACACTATAGCTTTATACTAAATGAAAATGAAAGGGGAAAAAAAGGTTTTTAATTACCTTTTTACAACATCAAGACTCACTGCTTGTCTTGAGTCAAAGTAATCTGGCAGGTGTCACTTCCTTGTCTTCTCACCCAACCAATGCACTTCATAGAGAAGCATTGTGGTTGACAATGACATATGCAGTGAGTGCCATGCTTGTCCAAATAAATGCTTCTTATAGGGAAGCAATGAATCGACTTTTCTTTTATATATGTAATTATGTCTAAATGCTTAGAATGTTCTAACAGATTGAAAGTTTTAAAAAACAGCTTGAAGAGACACCTGAACAACTTTAGCTTAATGAAGCAGTTTTGGTGTATAGAACATGCCACTGCTCAATTCTCTGCCATTTAGGAGTTAAATCCCTTGGTTTATGAAACCTAGTCACACCTCCCTGCATGTGACTTGCACAGCCTTCCATAAACACTTCCTGTAAAGAGAGCCCTATTTTCTTTAATTAAGATTTTCTTATGCCCTGCTAGGTTAATAGCTTGCTAGACCCTGCAAGAGCCTCCTGTATTTGATTAACGTTCAATTTAGAGATTGAGATACAATTATTTAAGGTAAATTACATCTGTTTGACAGTGAAACCAGTTTTTTTTTTTTCATGCAGGCTCTGTCAATCATAGCCAGGGGATGTTGTGGCTAAGGCTGCATAAACAGAAAAAGTGATTTAACTCCTAAATGACAGTGAAATTGCAGGGGAATGATCTATAAACTAAAACTGCTTTATTTAGCTAAAGTAATATAGGTGACTATAGTGTTCCTTTAAGTACTGAATGTATGCTTGATGAACCTTATTTTACAATGCATAAATGTTTGACTTCCTGTGATATCTTTTACCTCAAAATAAAAGAAAAATTGACATAAAAATGGAAGGTTTAATGTTATATCATAATATAGAAACACTTTACCTAAAATACTTATGCCAATTCAAAAATATTTACCAATGTTCAGTTACCACTTCAGAAACAAAGAGTCCTAGTAAAGTGATAGTATTCTTCCAAGAAAATAAAAAAAGTCATAAAGGACGTGTCGGAATACTGAAATTGAAAATCACTGACTACTTCTGATTGCATTACTATAACACATACAATAGGAGGTAACTGATGATGTGTGGGGTGTAGGCTACAGTTAGAAAGTTTCTAAGAGCCGTTGTATGTACACACACACACACACAAACCTCGTTAACAACAAATATCTTCACAAAGTTTTTATCTGAACAATGCTTACATAAAAAAGGGGCTAGACTATCAAAATAAAAAAAAATACCCTATTATAAATTATATAATTATTATTATTATTACTGCTATTTATAAAGCGCCAACAGATTCCGCAGCGCTGTACAGTTAGTGTTGAAACGTACAATATACACAGACAAATACAAGCGGTAGAGAGCTATGGACAGAACATGCTTTCTATTAGGAGACATAAATAGTTGGCTTTATCCTTCTTACAATTGTGTCCTTGACAGGTTCATCCAGTGTGGAATAATCCTCCTCCTGGGACTGAGAGGCAATTGGGATGGTGATATCTCCTTCCACTGGAATGTCTTCGGATATGGAAACATCTGACAGCCCTGAAAACTGGAGGGTGGGAATGGGAGTTAGTATGTAATAAAGCGAGATAGCCTCTACCTGCTGAGTTATTACCCCATGTGTCAATGCATCCCCACCCTAAGTCACACAGCCTGGTCTGCCCATCCCTGCAAGCAGAGTACAGCGGTCTTACCCCCCCGGCCCCCCTCTATGATGCTCTATACCGTCCATATCCCACCGCTCACCAGCTGTTTATTTCCTCCATCCTGCCTTTCCTCCGTTTCCGCCATGTTTTCCTTCGCCTCCCTGGAGCTGCTGCGACGTGGAGACGGATCTTCTTACGTCATCGTCCGTCGCCAATCCCTGCTTCCGCTTGTGATGACGGGGTCGGCGTCTAGTGTCTCCATGGCGACTGCAGAGTTCTAATCACTAGAGAGATATCGCCACCCAGTGATGCTACGGTCTGATATGCGCAGACTGTCCACTCTTTTGCAGTGAAGCTGGGGGCTGTAGGACTACAACTCCCTAGATGCTCCGCTAGCTTTAAGCGTGACACAGCTTAACTGAAGTTGTAGTTCTAATCTAGAACATGTGGGCAGCCACTGTTTACACAGCCCTGCATTGCAGTGTCGGCCATTCAGAGCAGACTCGGACCAAGTGATTTGAAATATCTGGATCAGTGACATGACTAGAATCACTGAGTACTGTCACCACTGCTCGTTTCCTCTCAGTACTGAATGTGTCCGCACTCTCAGGGCTGCCTGTGTTATGTGTGTACAGCTGCACCGTGACGTCTTCCTGACAACAGTGTCCCTTTAAAGGGATTATGTAGTGTTAGGAATACAAACCTTTATTTCTAACACTATAATTCCCTCTCCCACCCCCCCCTTCCCCCCCAGGCTCCCCCATTACCACCACCACCACGTGCATGTAAAGCAGACCTGCACAACTTGGCAATAGGTAAGGGCCAAAATTAAATAGGCTAAATTCCTTCGGGTAGGTTTTTAGTGCCTATCACAAGCACACACTGACAGACTTACAGATACACACACACATTCAGACAAACAGTGACATATAGACACACAGGGCCGGTGCAAGGATTTTTGCCGCCCAAGGCAAAAGTAAAGTTTGCCGCCCCCCCATGTGACATCACAATGTCCCACCCATATGATCTGCTATGTGAACTAACGCCAGTGCTGCAGTGCCGCCGTGTTTACATTAAAAGGCCTGCAGGGACAGGCTATAGACACCAGAACCACTACATTAAGCTGCACTGGTTCTGGGGACTATAGTGTTTCTTTAACGTGAGGTAAATTAGAGATTAGTGCCACGAATAATATACTAGATTGCCTACTTACAACCAGATGAGGATGATGATGTGCTCTAGCTGCAGTCTGGCTCCACTGGTCTGGTGTAGAACATAGTGGTGGGTGTTAAGTGTACATTGATGTTCTCAGGCTCTCTGGAGGCGGTTTGTAACTGTGGTCACAAAAATCAATGTTCTGAGAGAACGGGAAGCAGCTCCATTTTTGGTGGCCCTTTACACAGCTCAAGGTCTGGGTCCCAGGTTCCACCTTCATGTTCCACCAATTAGTTTGTTCACAGGGGGTGGAGTGTGTAGGGGATGTCCTGATGTGTGTAAGGAATGCATTGTGTGAATCTGTGTTTGTATGTGTAAGGGCTGCAAGGTGTGTTTGTGTATGTATGGGATGCAGTGTGTGCGTCTGTAAGGGATGCATTGATTGTGTGTAATAAATGCATTGTGTGATTCTGTGTGTGTAAGGGATGCATTGCTTGTGTATGTGTGTCTGTGTGTGTAATGCATTGTGTGTTTTTCTGTGTTCAAGGGGTGCATTGTATGTGATTGTGTGTGTGTGATGGATGTTAATCTCCCCCCCTCCATCAATTTCCTTCTCACCCTCCCCCCGTCAATTTCCTTCTCCCCCTCCCCTCGTCAATTTCCTTCTCCCCCCTCCAATTTCCTTCTTCTCTCCCCCTCTCCAATTTCCTTCTCCCCCCTCTACAATTTCCTTCTTCCCCCCCTCAATTTTCTTTCCCACCCCACCCCCCCCACTATTGTAGCGTGGCCGAGCTCTGTATGGTCCGCGGGTACAGGGAGCTTTTGTTTCCTGTACCCGGCCGGACTTAAAGGAAGTGCACACCGAGTGTGCACTTCCTGTTAGTCTGGCCAGGTACAGGAGACAGATGCTCCCTGTACCCACGTACCATAGAGAGCTCGGCCACGCTACAGTGAGGGAGTGACAGGAGGGAGTGCTGAGCGCTTTCCTCCTGTCAGCCCCCCGCCTCATGCTGCGCCCGGGCGGTGCGCCCTCATGGATGCACCAGCCCGGGCAAAGCTGCAGCCGCCTGAGGCTCTCTGCAGAGCGCTCGGGAGGCTGCAGCATGAGGGGGGCAGGCGCTCCTGGCGGCGCCCATTCCCAAGGGGCACCCTAGGCGGCTGCCTAGTCCGCCTAACAGGTAGCGCCAGCCCTGGACACACACTAACAGACATACAGGTTGAAATATACACTTTTATAGCCACCCTCCAGTTTCTTACCTTTTGGGTGCTGGAGGGTGGCTTCCCTCGTATCCAGTCTGCAGGTTTAGATTGTTGGGAGTTAGGGGCTGGCTCTTGCAGCCTGCACCCCCTCCTCCCCTGCCTTCTCCTCTGCTCCCTCCATTCTGCTCCAGTCTCTTTCGGCCTGGCCCCCTTCTAACAACCTCTTTTCTGTCTCCGGAGTCTGGGAGAAAGTGACTTGCAGCACTCAATTCCTCCCAGTATACCGATGAGCAATGGACCCAGTCGCACTTTTAAAGCACCACAGTGCCCGATACATACAGACACATGTCCGATGGGACTCTTAATTGTGCTGGCCCCGGTGCAGTGGCTGTACCAGTGGTTGTTCTTCGTGGGCTGCCTGAATTTGCTTTGGCGGGCTGTAAGTTGTGCAGGCCTAATGTAAAGGGTTAAAACAAACCTTTAGTCAATTTCCTGATTCCAGCACCGAACTCTCTCAGCGCTGGGTCGGCACTTCTCCAACTCCATCTGATGCAGGAGCCTAATGTTCATGCGCAGCGAACATTGTGAGCACATTAGGCCCTCCCCATTGGTATGCATTGCCTCAATATTTTCCAATTGGGATTTTACTGATGCTGGATGCCCTCATGCGGAACATAAGGACACCCGGCTTCAATTAGGGAACTGCCTTATTGACAGCTACTAGGTAATCATTGCTGTCTCTCTAAAACTGCAATGATTTACATTGCAGGACTAAATGGGACAGGGACACTGCACACAGACCACTTTAATGAAATGAAGTCGACTATGGTGTCCCTTTCATTTTTAGCTGCACTGGCAACCCACGCACAGAGCTCTATTGAAGCTCTCTTGTAAGGTCTGAATGACCATGAGTATAGAAAAAGCAAGTAATGATACTCTTATGCTGCTGTTTTGAGAATGTGGTTGCTGATGTTCCCAGATGAAAACAAAAAAGTCTAAATGTGGGACAATTAGGAGGTTTGGAAATGAAACCTTTGATCGTGCACTATTTGAACATGTCATTGGTCTTGATCAACTGGACTATTTTTCATGATAGGGGAAAAACTTTTCCTGTATGTATATTGCTAGTTAAATTGTTTGCACATGTGTAGTGTAAATATAAATCCTGTTCATTTTACAAATATCTATATTAAAGGGATACTATAGTACTAGGAATTACTCGGCTATTTCGACAGAAGCGCCTCTAGTGGACTTCAGTGTGACAGCAACTAGAGGCATTTTAATCCTGCAATGTAAACACTGCTGTTCCAATGCAATGTATTCAGTTGCAGAATTAAAACAACAGGGGCATGGCACCCAGACCACTTCATTGAAATGTGACCATTTAAACCCTTATATATAGATTTGCAGCTCATCTTGTACGTTAAAAACACCTTGAACACGATGGAACCATATTAAAATCTGCGGCATACCTACAACAGTAACCATTGAAGAAATGCCACACTACATCAGAAGGCTTTTGGCAGGGCTATATCGCCTCCCTACAAGGGCGTCACCAACATCACCTCTGACTGGGGATGCAATCCTGCACTGCTCTCTACCACAGGAGAAAGCCCAAATCATAGCTGCCCTGAGGGGCAAGACCGCACTCATTTTTGAAGACTCCAACTTATCCTTCTACCAGGACCTAACCAGGGCCATGCTTCAATGGCTCAAATCACTAAACTAACTTACTGGACACCTGCGCTCCGCAGGGGTGACACCAAGATCGCTAATTGTCACCCACAACAGGACTATGCACAGAATCTCCTCAGAATCAGAGGCTCCTGCACTTCTCGCAGCTTTGGGTCTCACGGACTTGACACCCGCTACTACTGCCTAGACATCTACCCAGACTTGGGACCCGACCCAAGTAGTGCCATTTGTGCCAAGAACTGGACCCGGGAACGTCTCAGCCCCCTGACTGAGAAGGTGGATTACCACAACCCCAAAAGAGCATCAGGAGAAGCCACAGCCCAAGCTGTTTGTTTATGATTTTGATGTTTTCATGTTCTTGTCTTTTTTTTTCTTTCTGCTTCTTAGCACTATGTTACATCCGAGGGGACCCGGCAGACAAACTACCGGGAGACACCTAACACTGGCGAGCCCACTGGACGACATGATACACAGTTCTACTCCAGTCTTGCAACTCATGCGACTCTAAGTTAATACGAATCTCCCCGATGCCCTCTTGGTTAGGGGTGACTGACTACCCCTCTCGAGTAAGCCTTCACTCAATTTATAATCCCCACACCTTCTAGCGAAGGCAACATTCTTGGAGTGCTTTCATCCATGTTGAAGTGCAATTAAAGGGACACTCTAGTCACCAGATCAATTGCAGCTTAATGTAGTTGTTATGGTGTCCATACCATGTCTCTGCAGGCTTTTTGTTGTAAACACTGCCTTTTCAGGACCCGCTTAGGGGGGTCTGCCTTGATGTTAGCAGGTGGGCTTTCCCTCCAATGGCCATTGGAGTAACTAAATGACCTCCATTTGTCTAAATATACATAGGGATTAAGGAGAGAGCGCAGGTAACCTTTTTTTTTCCATTGGTTTTTAACTATATATTGGGGCTGATGTGTACTGTGGTCATTGCTGCTGCCCAGGAGTGTTGGGAGTGAGCGCAGGACTTATCTTTTTGTAAGTGTTTATATTGCAGCCTAGGGACACCTCTAGTAGTCACTTCTCAGAGGCCACTAGAGGTGCTTCCTGGGTCAGCGCTCTGCATGGAGATGGTGAACTTTCCTCATAGAGATGCATTGATTCAATGCACACTGTGTGTGTGTGTGTGACAGCCTGCCTGTAACTGTGTGTGTGTGTGTGTGTGTGACTGTCTTCCCGTGACTG